GCTAAGCCTGCCTCTTTTTGCCACTAAGGGGTCTCTCCTGAGCTGTTTTCTGCTCCCAGGTGCAGGGCACTTGACTGTTCTGTGACAGATACTATCTTGCAGATTTTGGTGGTCCTCAAGCCATTCCTTGAGGCCACAGAGAGGCTCAGTGCTGGCGATATCCTCCTATGCCAGGTGATCCCTATAGTGAAGGAGCTTGAGAAATGACATGGAGAAGTTCCAGGGGATCGATGTTTCTGGCTGGGGCAAGCCGCTTTCACCAGAGGTGCAGACACTGGTGAAGCAGCTGAAGGAGGGCATCAAAAAAAATGGCTGGATCCATTATAGTCCAGTATGATCCATGTTCTGGTGGGCATGTTTGACCTGAGGGTGAAGGGGAGTGTCTGCAGTAGCAAAACCCTCAATCACTGGACAGAGGTGCTGGTGAACAGAATCAGGGAGGCAGAAGGCCACAGGCAGGGGGAAGAGGAAGAGAGGAATCCACTTTTCTGTGCCAGTACTCCAACCAGGAGCCAATCTCCTCCACCACAGCTGCTGCTAATGTGGGCCAAGGGCATGGCTTCAGTGTTGGGGTCCTGAGGCACCAGACCCCACAATAGGGCAGGTAGTGTGAAGGCCTCGGTGGCTACATATCTCACTGAGGACGTGGAGCCGCTGCACTGCAACCCCTTGGCCTATTGGGCAACCTGCAGCCAGGTGTGCCAGGATCTGGCCATGGTTGCCTGGGAACACCTGTCCTATTCACTGACCACTGTTCCAAGCGAGAGGGTGTTCAGCATTGCTGGTGATGTTGTGACACTCCACCACATCTCTTTGGATCCTGGTTTTGTGGAGCAGCTGGTGTTCCTGAAGGTGAACATCCTGCTGTTGGATTTCACCAAGATCCACATGCAGATGGAGTGCCACCCTCCTCACTCTGCACCTATTTGGTTTTTTAATTTGCTTTCAGAGCCTTGAGGTGCACTTTCACAGAAACCCCTGCACCACTCTGCCTGAAACCTGGCAGGCCTCATGCCCACATGAGGGGCTACCATCCCAGCTGTTTTCATCCCGCTCTGCCTTAACACACACAGGTGATACGAGTTTTGCTTTCAACAGTTTGAGGCATACTTGAACAGACAACCCTGTACCTATCTCCTTGAAGCTTAGCAGGGTTCACGCCCTCAGAAGGGGCTACCATCCCTGCTTTTTTTCATCCACATCTGCAAAAAAATGACAAAGTTATAGGTATTTAGGTGATTCCCCGTTATAGTCCATGGTCAAATCTTCAAATCGGTGCCGAATCTCTGAATCAGAATCAGCCAAATCGAATCGGGACAGTGATTTGAATCACTGAATCGAATCACTGTCCCTCTGAATCAGCTGAATCCAAATACGAAGTGAATACTTTCTGCTTCGCACAGGCCTAACAACTGGATGCCTTGTACTGGGGAGTATTCCTTTTCCTTACTGTGCAAGTAGGAATGCTGTACCTGAGATATCACAGTAGACTGTTTGCTGATAGAATCTGGCTTCTCGTGGTTTAAAAATCACATTAATTTCAGCTGTAGAATTAGGCCAAACATCTCCTTCCTAAAACAAATGAAAGACACAAACAGTTATTGTAGCATTTAAATTACCTTAGAACAGTAGGCTCTTATTTCTATGTTCACAAAACTGAATATAAAACCAGGCGCAGATGCAAAATCTGCATGTACAAATCCTGAAGCCTGTTTGAGGCCAAGCTAAGATCTCTGTTCCTTACCTTACATTAGGTAACTTGGCTGTGAGCATGCATTTTATCAGACAGTCTGATCAGCAATCTAGTATATGTTTTCCAGTTCCCACTACTATGGTCCTAATTTAGGGCACTTAACACATTGCAGGAACATCATTTATACCTGAGGATAAGCATATCAACAAAAATGTCTTCCTACTAATGGCTGCTGTTACTGTTACAGTTGTCTTTTTTGGCCTGAATAGCTAGCTAACAATTTGGGGTCATGAGATGTTTTAGTTAAGAGGAAAACCTGATGATGGAGTCATATCTTTGATACAAAGCTGTTATAAAGAATTTACTGAGTTATTTTTCTTTAAACATAGGAGATGGTTTCTTCACTCACAGTTCCAAGCTTCTTTCAGCATCACTCAGCCAAGAAAGACAGTGTAGGAGCTTTTACTCAGGGCCAAGCTACGAGGCCTTCTGTAACTGTCTCTGACATTCCTCTCTGGGTGTGTCTAGTCTACACATGCCCCTAACTGCGTGGTTGTTACTGTGCAGTCATTTCCTACTTACATTAGCTCCAAGTCTAAAAAAGTTTAACCCAACCCACAACATTACAAATTGTTGTGCATGTATTTGTTGACATAAATGGATGCATTGTTTAGCATTGGGCACCACAATAAAAAATCTCTGAAAACTGAAAGTTCTCAGTTATAGAGGGAGAAAGAGAGAACTGAAATATTTTTATTAGCAAACTTTGGCCTGATACTGGGTAGTTCAAGACTTTAAGTAGAACAGGAAGGCCTCAAACACTGTTGAAGCCCCAAGCACTCCTGCAGTATAAATTTTAAATAATCAGACTAATTCCCATGAACTTAAATGGGAGAGCACTCAGCATCTCACAGAATTGTCCCTGTAGAAATTAAAGAAATATGACATGGTGAGTTATTAGGCTGCAGTTTCAAGTAATTCCCTGAAGCATACCATGCTTTTAGCATGGTTAGAAGTGAACAGACTGGAAAGAGCAAAGAACAGAATATGGATAAAGTCATTTCAAGCGCAGAAACAAAATTAAGACAAATGGAATAACACAAAGCCACTTGGATTCATTTAAAAACCTACTGCAAACATCAGCTTAATCAAGTGTACTTCCCAATGCAGGTTTCTACCCAGCAAAATGAATACCATGAAACATTATTAGATTCCCACACTGCTGCCTGATGCTGCATGTTAGAAATATTTAAGAGACCAGCATTGGAAACCGTTCAGCATTTCATTCCATTATAAAGCCACTGGGCTCAATTTTGGTATCACACTAGTTCAATAACTTCCATGGAATTACCTTTGGTTTTTATACATTTAACTAAAAGCTTTTCCACTGTCACTAAATAAAACAAGACTCAGGCCAAGGTCTTTGACAGTTTACTGTAGCTCAGGAGTTCAAAACAAAGACAAATGATAGATTTCCCTGGTTTAGTTAATTGAAGTCTAATAATTCATGAGTGTTCTTCATTCTACTCCTCATCCAGTTTAATATTATTAATTCTATCATGTCATATCTCAGCAATCTATTTTCAGAGAAGGTGTGTGTATATACACAATTAATTTTATTTCCCCACACTGTCTACTGTGCAGATGTACATCTTAGCTATCTGGCTTTATAATCTCTCTTTAAAATGGCACCATACAGGCTAAATGGACCACTAGTAACTCTATCCTGGTCTGGTTGCTGTGATCCTCAGAGAAGAAAGCTACAGAGACTATTCATTCCCTGAGGAGCACAAGGAGTACTTTGCATTGCTGGCTATCAGCACATCAGTGGAATAAGAACTCAGACACTGATGCTTTCAGAGAGAATCACCAGAACCTTGCTTGGCCTGAGGCACCGTAGTTATGATAGAGGTCTTACGGCTGTATAGGGAAAACAGGAGGAAACTAGGATGGCTTCAGGCTTACAATAAGACTGGGGAGAGAGGGTGTGTATGTGTGTGTGTGGGGGGGGGTGGATGTTCCTTAGGAAGGAATAAAGCCAAGTATTGTTGGAAGACGAAAGTGGCCTTATTTTAAAATTGAAATCTTAAGGAACCCATGGTATGCAATTCATTTGTGGATCATCATATACAGAATGATAAACTGGCACAGCAATAACCTAGGATTATATATTCCAGGGATCACAAACAGTAATGTCTGGACCTGTGGAAACCCATGCTATTTTGGGGCTTCACAAAGGCAGGCATGACACAGCTGTGGACATCCAACAAGGTAGCCTCCAGACACTTGAAAGGTTAATTCACAGCAAATGTCCCTGGCTCAGCAGGAAACATCACCACAACATTGTCTCTGGGAGTCCAAAACAAACTAAATGCTGAGTCTGTCAAACTCTGGCTTCTTATCCCTGTCAGACCAGAGTTCTTCCAATCAGGCAGTTGGTTTCTTTCCTGGAACCAAGGGCTGTCCCACAGTCCCGCAACCTCCGGTGAATAGCCTGCTTTTCTTCTGGAAGCCCAGCTCAGGTTTACATTCCAGGACTAACAATTTACTTCAGGGCAGGCATTTTCCCTCCTCTGGAGGAGAGTACGGTGGCTCCCTCTTCTTTCAGGGACAAGTTCATCCCAGTGCAGCAGGCTTTATAAATGCTAAAAAGGAGTTCTGTTGGTGACACTTAGTTTTTTAGACCAACCTTCCCAAATCTGGCAATATCCTTTTCAGTTCCATATGGTATGCTGAGCAGTACTGGAGGCATACACTACCACGGAACACATGCCTTCACAATAGAAATTAAACACATTCTAAACTACCCATTATCATAAAACCAAAACCATCAGGCCCAGCCCAATCTCACACTGTATAATTCCAAGGATTCCACTGATTTCAGTAGGGTTAGTTCTAATTCGCACTCCTGTGAAATCCAAATCTCGCTGGAACAGTTAGGGATCAGTCTTTCTTTCATCCAGGGCAGTGGCAGAACTCCCCAGAATTTTAATGGTACAGGGTCAGACTCTTTGACTGACTGCACAATAAAGTGCCTTATTGCTGTCTATTTAGATCATGAACCAATTGTATGTACTGGTCTATTTATCTGCTCCACTCACAAGCACACAGGCCTTAAAACCTACCCTCAGCCTAAAGCACAGTCTTCCTAGCCTAAAGGTCTAGCTACCAGCCCCACAGCCAGGGTGGTGGAAGTTCAAGGCCAGGGGATGGACTTACTTAATTCCCACACACGCAAAAAAAATTAGAATGGTACATCAAGTGTACCAGGCTACCCTGGCCTTTTAGTGTTGTGCCTTCTGGCGCTGGGCTCAGTGCACCCCCTATGGTACCAGTGCCTATATACCCCAAAAAGCCACAGCCTCACTGGCACCAGGGTCCCCACTCTGTGGTGGGCCCCCAAATGAGGCCTTCTCCTTCCCCTAATACCCTCACCCAAACCACTGGGTATTCAATAACCAAAAGAAATATGGACAGTCCCATCCATGGGCAATAACGGCCACTAATAAAAAAAATGTGCTCAGACAGCTGCATGCCAGCTTACATTTACACCGGGTTCCTGCTTCAGCTCCCCACCTTTAGCTTCTGGGGCGGCTGCCATCTCTCAGGGCTTCCGCAGTCCCCTCTTCCAGCCTTTGGACTGCTCACCAAGCCTCTCATGGAGCTCTGGGATGCACTCCTTCCCAGAGTTTTTTATAGTCCTGACCTGCCCCTTCTGGTCAGCTGACTAGCTGGCCAGGCTCAGTATTTAACCCTCTCCTTCCCAGCATTCCATGCCAGAAAGTTATGTCCTTAAAGGGGCTGACCCATCTTCTAGTGACAAGGCTAGGGTTCCCTGTTACACAACCCCCTCTCTTCTCCATCGTCTGGGGTCTTTCTGAACCCTAGACCTGCCTTCTAGTAACAGGGCTAGGGTTCCCCGTTACAGTAACACATAAGCAAAAACAAATGTATATAGAAAAGAAAGAAAATTAAAAAGAATTGTTGCCCTGATGAATACGTATCTGCTAACAACAGTATGACTTCCTAGTCGAGTGGGTTTAGCTGACTTTGGATTTTGACGAACTCCAAGGCTAGCAGATCTGTGACAGAATCATGACTGACATTGGGATCTTACCATCAGGACTGCAGTAATGGCAATACGTCACAGAGGCGAGGATAGGCAGACAGACTTGATAGGACGTGTGGATCTATGTATGGGACACAATGCCAAGAGCCAGAGACAGACATATTAAATAGCCCAGAGTCAGCATTGGTCTCTGCAACTGTTCTGTCTTGTTATTAGTTACCCCCCAAATGACTGCAGTTTGTTTCCCCACTGTTAAAGATTTGGGCATATATAGTGACTGGTATGGGAAGTTGTAAACTATATTATCAGTCTCCTAAAATAATACAGTCAAGATAGATACACGCAAGTTATGGTGGCCATCTTAGCCTCACACTTTGGGCACTTGAATTCTTAACCCAATATGCGTAGTAATAGTTCTGCCCATGAATACCAATAAAAACACAATGCATCTATGGAATGTAGGAACTAACATAGAAGGCCTATAAAAATAGCACCTTTCACCCAAAGATTTCAAAGAACCTCATGAAAACTAGTGAGTTCTGTTTTACAATCCTAATATGAGGAAAATAAAAAGTCATCACTGTTTTACAATATGCAGAAACTGAGGCCCAGTAGCATTCTTGACTAACATCACCTAGCAAATTAGTGGCCGCGTTGGGAATCTATCCCAGTCCCCATCACTCTGATATCTGAACACCTCACAAATTTTAACACATTCATCCTCACCACCCCCATGAGGCAAGGTAATGCTACTCCCTTACTGCAGAGCACAGTGATGAGACACACAGCGTCCATCTACATGTGCATTAA